TAGTCAAACTGAATTTTTAATAAACCAAAATACAGTTTCAAAGCAAATTAATTCAGACACAAAACTTTAAATTCAGTTTCAATTTAGTGAAATTTATTTCCAAACCAAAGCATTCAATTTCAAATTCTGCACATTCAGATTCAATCTGAGCAATTCAAATYCAGTTCCTGCTGACACAAGATTTATCCCATATAATCACTCGTAGTCACTCAGAATCTATTTTATGGTCAGGTATATACCTAGTATTTCAAGCACTTCAGTGCCAGATCTGAACATGGCCTATAATGAGAACCCAGACTCCAAACAAGCTTCCGGCTCATTTTGAAACCCACCTACACGAACGCTTATTGTTCACACCACAGTTTCTTCAGATCAGCACAGATCCTATTCAGAAGGCTGTGGTGAAGAGTCCAACTCTAATCCTGGCAGAACAGAGGCTACAGACATATCCAGATGGGCCTCCCAGCTAAGGTCAATGTCAGCCAAAGCTGGTGGATTTTGTGACTATGTCTTGTTTTTAATATTATTTAATAAAAAATAACCTGCCCGGAAATATAAAAGTTAAAAAGGAGGAGAGGCAGCCATTCCCTATTCATTCAAAACACAAATGAAAAAAGGGGACAACACAAAGGGAAGGAAAGCATTAGACATACCTGGTATAAATTTTCAAAGCCAAGTTTAGATAATTCAATTCATCTTGCTGAGGCCCTTATGTTCAGTAGAATTTAAAYAGTTATGACATTTATCTGGCCTCAGTCATCTAAAACTTTCTCATAGTTTATAATATGCTGACCATTTTTTACAACTCTGTGAATGTAAAAAATAAAATAAAAATTAAAGAATGAAAAGAAAAACTAATAAATTAAAAACAAACAAAACGGGGTTGACAAACAAATTACGGCAGCACGTTGATTTAATTTGTTTAAGTAAACTAAAACCTTAGAGCTGTGAGTAGAGCTATCTTTGCACCAGACCTTTCATATTATGAGAGTTTTCCTTTTAGATGAATGAGAAATTCATAAAGATGAGTAGAATAATAAAATGTTATTTTTAATAATTTTCAAATTTACCATTGAGATGTTATTTACCACAAAGAGAAAGGCATCAAGTCTTCAGCTTTTGCCTGCCTGTGTGCCTTTTGTGCTGACTACACA